ACACACACATACACAGTCAGCAGCTCAGTCGCTTGTTTATTTGTCCCGCTGCTGTAACATGTTTTGCTGCTGTAATTTATGAGCTGCAAAATCAACTAGTTTCCTTTATATATTTTATTTTTTTCGTTCTTTATTTCTTTCTACTACTGCTGCTGCTCTTGATTTTTGGTTTTAGTTTATGCGCTCAATTTAGTAACTAGTTAGCCTGAAATGGTGGGGTGGACATGAGACTGACCCATGGCCGCCGCCTAGTCGTAGAGCAGCTGCAGGCCTAGCGGGGCAAGTTCCAAAACCACTTGCGACATGTCCAGAGCAGGGAAGGAAGGAAAACCAACAAGAAACTAATAAAAAGCCAAAGCAGAAACCACAAGAGCTCATAGCTCAAATGCGCTGACAGCAGGCACGAGTTATGCGTACGTACATATCTTTGGAATGACAGAGGGATAGAGCGATGGAGGTGGTGTGGGGGTGTGGACAAGGGCATCGTTACGGTAGCAGGGGTAAAAAATATGTTGAGCTTTTCCAACTAAATGCTATAAAAATTCTTGACTTAATAGGAAAACAAGACAAGAACATGAGGAGAGCTGAAACTTGTGGATGGGCACTAAAGAAAACTAACAAGTTACAAAAGCCAAAGAGCTGTGCATAGGTAGGCGAGTGGCTGTTGAGGCGCTGAAGGATGAAGAGGGCGAGAAAGAGGAGGAGGAGGAAGAGCAGAGGCAAGCAGAAACCAGCAAAATGGCAAAACAAGCTGGCGAACACACAATCACACACACACACACACACACAACGAGACACACACTCACAGTCGAGAAGAACTTGAAAGCCAAGAAAAACATTTAGTAGATGATGAAAATCATGGCGCAACACATATCAACTAAAAGCAGTAGCATGAAAAGCACGAAAGCGACGGATATAGAGTGAGTGAGTTAGAGGGAGAGGGAAACGTAACATTGCGATGCGTTGACGACCGATTTGGCCATGATAGTAAGGAATCGCAGCCAACAGCTATGCGGCCAAGGAATGGAATGGAATCAAGGCAGCCAGGCAACCAGCCAACTGTCAGCCTCTAGCCAGCAGGTCAATAACATTTTAGTGAGGCAAACGCACGCAGCTGCCAAGCGCAAAACGTATTAAAGCATTAATTGTGTATTGTTGTTGTTGTTGTTGTTGTTGTTGTTGTTGCTATGGCTCTTGTTGTCTTGAAAGTTCTTCGAGTGCTTTTTGAATGCCCTGTAAATGCATCGAAGTGGGCAATAGACGAAGAGCAGAACATAATGTGCATATAGTATATATATAGGATAGGAAAAGTAGTATAGAAATTCGATTGAATATTTATATAGTATATATACCATTAAAAGTATAGAAATTCGATTTAACGTACAATCAATTAAGATTGATATCCTGTTTTCTGATTCATTAATAATATATATATCGATACGTCCTTTTGAAAGATAGTTCTATTTCATTATCTTTGGTTTTAGTCAATCTTCATAACTCAACAAATATCGAAATATATTACACTTTAGATTTTATTTTACCCTCAAATACAGGCTTCATTCAATTTAATGCCCATTCGTTAAATGTCGATATGATTTTTTTTTTTTTTTTTTTTTTTTATAGATAACTAATGTTCTCACTTTAGGCCCCTTAAAACTATAAATAAATATTTATCTATATAAAACTCTGTTGCCAGTTAACTCCTTCATCGTTGCCAATTTTGAAAGTTTGGCTGGCTACAGGATACGTGCCAGTCGAATTAGCCAAGTTGTAATTTGTTTAGGTTTTTGTGTGTTTTGGTTTGGTTAATGCTGAAATTGGATTGTGTGGTTCTATAATTTATTGTATTTCCGCTACGTTTCCGGCTTAGTTCAGTACTTTTTAATTTCGCATTCATTAGTTACAAGTGAGCGCCGAGCCGAGCTGAGCTCACACACTCACACACTCACACACATACACACGCACATTAGCTCTCATTTGCCTTATCATTTATCTTAAGTTGGCCAAGTTTGGCTTTGGTCTGGATTTGGTTTCTTGCCACTTGGCCATATCAATTCATTCGCTTTCAAGTTCGCAGCGACTTTCGCATTTCTGTGGCCTGTGGCGCTCATTAAAAAAAGATATTTTGGCATTTGGGATTCGGTTGGCGTTGGCTGGCGCAGCTGTAAGCCAAGTTAATGCATTTTATAGCCGAAGCGCGCCGTTCTAATTAAAATTAAAATTAATATTAAAAAAAATTAATATTGGTGCTAATTTTGATTGCACTTTTCATTGTTTTAAACTTGACTCTCCTTTCATTATTACGTTCAACCTGCTTTGTATTAAATTAATTGCCCGAAATCAACTGAAGCTGCCTTCAAAGCTGGCTTAAAACGTGGCCCTTTTTGGCCCCTTTTTTCGGAGTGTTTGTGTGTGTGTGTGTGTGTTAAAACGTTGCGCGTGGCCATAACGAAATTAGAGAAGATGAAAAAAAGGAGGAGGAGCCAACAGCTACTGCGCTCAATAACTAATTGTTGCTTAGCAGCAGCAGCAGCAGCAGCAGCAGCAGCAGCAGCAGCAGCAGCGGCGGCAGCGGCAGTCGACGGGCTATAAATTGCGTTAGTATTAAGTGGCCAGAACTGAGTTGAAAATTGAGTTAGTGTTAGTATATAGCGAGTGAAAATTGAAAATTTCATTTACCAGTTTGCCATTGAACGAACGTGCGGATTAGCCATAAACTGTTTTATAATGCACAGCGACGGCAATGGCGGCTCAAATTGTTAATTTCGCTGGCGATTGGCGATTGGCGAACGTAAAGCGCCATCTATGGCACATTAGCGGCATTAGGCGCTGGATATTTATTGTTGCCGACTTTTAGGCGAGCTACTTAAAGCCATCGTGAGAGGAAGCTGAACCTAACAATTGATTGGGAAAGAAGAAGAAAAAATATTTGTAACACGATTTGGCACATTCCAGAATGAATGTAAAACTAATTCAATTATTTGCGCGCATAATTTGGGGGGCTCGAAAGCAGCGAAAGCATGAAATTTATATGCAAAACACGCATAAAATTGTTTTCCCTGACCATCAGCTATTTCTATTTGTGTGTTGTGTATTTTTTTTTCTGCTTCTGCTTCTACTTTTTGCTTTTGCTTTTCTGCGTTCATTATTTATGAACACGAAAAGTGGCTATACGGAAAAATAATTGAAGCCCGCTCGCCGCCCATTTTAAAGTAATCAACGGGCGCGCTGCGATTCGGTATGCGACTCAGACGACTTTGGTCTTTTTTTTAGGTCATTTGGCTGGGGTAATGTTGGCAGAACATGAGGCTTGGAATGCAATTGAGCCTGAAAGTTATTTGAGACGGCGGGTAGAGCAGGAGGAGGTGGGGGGCTTGAGTCAATGTGTAAAACATGGTTCACAAAGTGACAATTAAGCCAATTTGAAGCCATTTACCGCAGGCCACGCAGAACGCGTCAATTTCCAGCAAGAACAATTTCTAGGCTACTCCAATTCTCAAGAGAGAGTGTGAAGTGTGGAGAGGGAGGCCAGAAAAGGTAGACAATCAAATGTAATTACACGCACATAAACACGCAAAGCGAGCGAGGCAAGCGGCAAAGAAACGGCTGAGCCTGAGCCAAGGCAAAGTCTAACCCTTAAACCTCCTAGACGGCAAAGCAAAAGGTAGCCGAGAATCACGCAATTTACTATAATTTTTGCACAAGCTGGGCCAGAGGCGGGCGTCTGCGGGTACATTTGCTCCACTTTCTTGAGATTGCGGCTTGTCAATGCGACAAGCGAGTCGGCGACTCGGCAACTCGGCGACTTTATGGATAGTCATTAGGCAGACGGCAGTCGACACTTAGCCGGCTCAGTTAATTACAAAGTGTAGAGCTAAGTGAGGTTAACTCCAAAGGCAACTGTTGGCCAGCAGGCAGACAGAGAGACAGAGACAGAGAGAGTGAGAGAGAGAGAGAGAGAGAGAGAGAAAGGCTGACAGAGAACACCTCAAACCACAAAATTTAATAGCATTTGCGGTGCATAAGAGCCGCTAATGCAAAAGGGACGTTGACTTGCACTGGAGTCGTAATGACACTCAAGTGCATGGCAGAGATTAGATGGCAGATGAAGCAGCAGCTTAGAAAATGTCAGGAAATTACAATGAATAGTGTTGTAAAGTGCGTAATTTACTTGACTCGAGTGTGGCAAAACTCGTTTAAATTATGACAAGTCAAGGATTTATGAGCTTGGCATAACTGCTACAGACAGCCAATAGAAGTCTCTATATATATTAATTTACATTTTCCTTTTGGGTGCACACAATATACCTGCAGTGTTGGTTAACGGAGGCATATGTGAAATGCACGATAAGGATTAGCTATAAGCTTATGCAAAACAAATTGAAAAAGATTTGCAATATATGAAATCTAGTGTTGCAAAGTGTAGAGTTTACTGCAATTCAGTGCTGTAAATGATCTAGATAACTGTGGTCTATTCTTGTCAAAATCCCTAATAAGCCCAATCTCAACATGCAGACCTCAATTTGAGCGCTGATTAACGCCTACGCCAAGGAGCGTATCCATTCCGCTCTACTTTACGTAATTAATGCCAGAGCTCAGATACTGTGGAGCTGCTAATGCGCTGATACACAGCGAAACACTTGATTAGCTTTAATTAATAATTGACAAATTTCTTATGTCTAATCAGAGCCTAAGAATTGCCTAATGTCTATGGCCTAACCCGCTGCCATTGCCTCCTCCCTTGGACTAATTCAATTACAAGTTTCTGGCTGGCGCTGATTAAGCCCCCGCTGTGTACGCAAAATGCTTTGTGTTTATTAATTTTCATCATTTGCAACGCCGCCGTCTCCACGGCCTTAGCCGTGATTTATGCCAGCAACAAACCCAAAAAAAAAAAAAAGAAAACCCCAGAAAAAAGAAAAGCCCTTACCAACCCAATACAGAGGGAAAAGAAAAACAGAATATTCTTGCTAATTTCAACATCCTGTTTTTGTTCACAGACTATGCCCGCGTCGAGGTTGGACCAGAGAATCCGCTGCGGGTCGAACGTGACCGCACTGCCAAATTGGAATGTAATGTGGATGCGAAGCCGAAAGCGCCAAATGTTCGCTGGACACGCAACGGCAGCTTCATTAGCTCCTCGCAGGTGCACACCATCCATCGGGTGAGCGTGCAGGATGCGGGCAAGTATACGTGCAGTGCCGATAATGGTCTAGGCAAGCCCGGCGAACAGGAGCTAATACTGGACATACTCTATCCACCCACCGTGGTCATTGAGTCGAAGACGCGCGAGGCCGAGGAGGGTGAGACCGTCAAGATACGCTGCAACGTCACCTCGAATCCGGCTCCTATCACAATCGAGTGGCTGAAGGAGGGCGCCGCCGACTTTCGCTACAACGGCGACGTGCTGACCCTCAACTCGGTGCGCGCCGAGCATGCGGGCAATTATATATGCCGCGCTGTCAACATTATGCAAAGTCAGGGTCAGGAGCGCAGCGAGCGTGTGGGTAACTCCACAGTCGCGCTGCTCGTTCGTCATCGTCCCGGCCAGGCTTACATAACACCCAACAAACCTGTGGTGCATGTGGGCAACGGCGTTACCCTGACCTGCTCGGCCAATCCACCGGGCTGGCCGGTGCCACAGTATCGCTGGTTCCGCGACATGGAGGGCGAGTTCTCGAGCCGTCAGAAGATACTGGCCCAGGGACCACAATATTCCATACCCAAGGCACATCTGGGCAACGAGGGCAAATACCACTGTCATGCGGTCAACGAGCTGGGCATTGGAAAGATGGCAACGATTGTGCTGGAGATTCATCAGCCGCCCCAGTTCTTGGCCAAGCTGCAGCAGCATATGACACGGCGGGTGGCCGACAACGATTATGCGGTTACGTGCAGTGCCAAGGGTAAGCCGGCGCCGAGCATTACCTGGCTGAAGGATGGCGTTGAAATCCTGCCCGAGCTCAACTTGTATGAGGTGAAGACGAATCCGGACCAGGGACCCAACGGCATGGTCACCGTGCAGAGCATGCTGAAGTTCCGCGGCACAGCCAGGCCAGGCGGCAATCAGCTTGTGCCCGGCGATCGTGGCCTCTACACCTGCCTCTACCAGAACGAGGTCAACTCGGCCAACTCATCCATGCAGCTGCGCATCGAACACGAGCCGATTGTCCTGCATCAGTACAACAAGGTCGCATTTGATATACGTGAAACCGCAGAGGTTGTTTGCAAGGTCCAGGCATATCCCAAGCCCGAATTCCAATGGCAATTCGGCAACAATCCCTCCCCACTGACCATGTCCTCGGACGGACACTATGAGATCAGCACCACGACGGACAACAATGATATTTACACTTCGGTCTTGCGCATCAACTCGCTCACCCACTCGGATTACGGAGAGTATACGTGCCGTGTGGTGAACGCCCTCAACACCATTCGTGCCCCGATTCGCCTGCAGCAGAAGGGTCCGCCAGAGAAGCCGACGAACTTGCGTGCTGTCGATGTGGGTCACAACTATGTGACGCTCAGCTGGGATCCGGGCTTCGATGGTGGCTTGAGCAAGACCAAATTCTTTGTGAACTACCGACGCGTTGCCATGCCCAGGGAGGAGCAACTGATACCCGATTGTGCAACACTGGCGAATGCCAATTCCGACTGGGTCGAGGTGGACTGTCAGCGTGATATACCCTGCAAGGTCAACTCGCTGGATCAGCATCAGAGCTATGCATTCAAGGTGAAGGCGCTGAATCCCAAGAACCATTCACCCTACTCCAACGAGATTACGGTAACAACGAAAGTCAGCCGCATACCGCCGCCCCTCCAGGTCACCTACGAGCCGAGCACCAGGACCCTGGGCATCGATGTAGGTGCCACGTGCCTCAATCTAGTGGCCGTTGTGGAGACAATGCTGCACGGTGATACGCCCATGGCCTCCTGGGATCTAGTTGACATTGTGGATAATCTGCAACTGTCTGGCAATGGACCCACGCACAAGGAGAAGGTCATCGATCGTCTGTTGACGCCACGTCGCAGCGGCGGAGGACGTGCTCTAGGCCACACCATTAACGAGGACGATGATGATCATGAGACTGCTTTGAATAATCTGGCCATGGAACAGGATGACAATAGTCCCGTGGTGCGCGTCAAGTTGTGCCTGCGCAACAATCGCGAACATTGTGGCGACTACACGGATGCTGAGAGTGAGTATTGAAGAGGGTTTATGGGGTGGATAAAGATGATGGGGGTAAAGATGGTACGAGTGATTGATATAAAGCTTGGCATAAGGATTAAGTGAGGGTGAAGAAGAGAAGTAGAGCAGTAGAAGAGGAGAACAGTAGAGGAGTAGAGTAGCTGTGAAGTAGAGGAGTAGAGGTGTAGACCTGTACAGGTGTAGAGGAGTAGAAGAGTAGGGAAGTAGAGGAGTAGAAATATAGAGGTGTAGATGGGTAGAGGACTAGAGGGCTAATGGGCTATAAAAGTAGAGGGGTAGAAGAGTAGAACATTAGAAAAGCAGAACAGCTGAGGAGTAGAGCAGTAAAGGAGTAGAGGGGTGGAAGAGTAGAGTGGAGTAGGAGAGTAGAAGAGTAGAATGCTAAAGGAGTAGAGTAGTAGAGCTATACAGAAGTGGAGGTGTAGAACAATAGAGGAATAGAGGAGGAGCAGAGTAGAGGAGTCGAGGTGTACAGGAGTCGATGGGTAGAAGAGTAGAGACTTAGAGGACTAGTGGACTAGTGCACTCATAGGAGTAGAGGGCTAGAAGAGTAGAGAGCAGAGTAGATGTTAGGTTTGTGGCGAGATATGAGGGGTAGAACAAGAGTCGCAAGCCAAGCAATATAGACTCCACTCCAATTTCTTAGAATTTCTATTATAAGTTTAAACCCCTAAAGCTTCTCTGATTTACAATCATACAACACTAAGGTCCAGTGTTGTGTAGTGGCACGAATATGTCAAGGTTTGAGCGCAGTTAATTGAGGCAGATGAAATACGAGGCAAATCATTTATCTTAGCTAATGTAGCAATGGTCAAGCGAACTGTCCATTGTGTGCGCCTGAGCCATTCACAATTGTGTGCACAGTTCACAGTGGTTCCGTGGTTCCGTGTAGAGGCTACTCAAGATCGTGAGGCATAATGATGCGCGAGCTGAAACGCACTGATTTCCATTATATGCAAAGCCATTACGAGCAATTGCGCCACTTGAATAGCTGGACAATCAATCACTCGTCCATCAAGCCCAGGAAAACCTGGCTGGCCATCTGTCCAGCCGTCCATCCGTCCAATCCGACCATCCATCCAGCCATCCATCCATCTAGCCGAAGCATTCAAGCAACCATCCATTCTCTTGAGTGGCGTTGCGTTTTTCATAGCTTCATTTCATTCAACTCAACTCGTTCCCTTTCGCTCACTCCATCTCTCTCTCCCTCTCTCTGTTTCAGTTGGACGTCCGTATATCGCGGAGGCAAGCGCACTGGCCACGCCCACATTGATTGCGATAATCGTATCGTGCATTGTATTCACACTATTCGCTGGCCTGCTGCTCATGTTCTGCCGCTGCAAGCGCAATCAGTCGAAGAAGAGCGCCGCCGCCAAGGACTACGAAATGGACTCAGTGCGTCCTTCGATTGTTGCCGCCCAGCAGAACCAGGCGCCGCCGCCCTACTATCCGGCCAGCGGTCTCGACAACAAGGCTCTCGAGCACTCCATGGATCTGGCCCTCAATATGGAGGACCAAAAGACAGCCCTCTATGCGACACAGAATGGCTATAGTTATCATCCGGGCAGCGGTGTCGTTGGCATCGTCGGCGGTGTGGGCGGCGGTGTCGGCGGTGGTGTTGGCAGTCTCGTTGGCGGCAACGCTGGTGGTAATGGCGGCAACGGCGGCGGCGTTGTTGGTGTGACCGGCATACCCGGTTTGACAGGACACACGTTGCCAGGAAATGAATGTAAGTACACACACACATACAGAGACATAGTCTCATATATACGTAGCCAGTAAGCTGTGGAGTGGTGAGTGGGGCTAAAGCGGGTCGGGGCAGCTGTGCTGCTGCACATATTGATGGATAGCCCAGAGTGCACTTCTCTTACAAAGCGCTTGGACTCTATTCTTATGGAAATTTTCCGATTTTCACATTTTCACATTTTTTATGGCCACATTTCTTTCAATATAAATATTCAGTGTAAAAACTCTCAACTGCTTAAAAAAAATTATGTTAAAAATCTATTGAGCGTTAATAAATATTGAAAATATTTAAATAAAATAAAATAAATAAGTATATGAAATATATGAAAGAAAACATTAACTAAAATTAATAATTACATAAAAAAATAAAATAAAAAAATTACATCAATAAATATATTAAATGAAATAAAATAAATATTAAAAATATAAATAAATAATAAATATTTAAATATCCCCATTCTCTTATTAATATTTAAATTTCACAAATAATATCCACCAGTTTCAATTAATCGACACTGAATAATTCTCACTTCACATATAATTTATAATAATGAATACAATTTTTTTAAATTTTCGATTCCAAAATTCTTTGAATTGATGAAAAAATTCTTCATACCCTTTGAACACTCAGTAAAGAGAGAGTATTGCCTGGATGTTGGGTTAGCTAGACCTAAGCACAACGAAAAGTGCGAAATACTTCCGGGCCATGTCGGTCACTCGCTTCCCACTCTTGCCCTTTACTCCCCCTCTCTCTCACACTCTCTCTTAGCCTCTCTCTCTCTCTGTCTTTGGCATTCTCAGGCAATCCCTGAATGCTGATGGCAAAATGTTTTGGGTGATTTTTCATTGTCCACCACAAAACACATCAGAAAACAAAATGAAATCCGTGCTGACGCGCACAGCTCCGTTCGACTGATGGAAGCATGTTGTGTAGTGTGCTGGGTGGGTGCACGATGGTGCCGTGTGGTGCCTTGCGGTGTGTGCACCACACAAATTATGTAGCCCATGAAATGTGAAAGTGCAAAATGGAGTTGAGTGCAAATCGATGGCCATGCGCATTCATCACGCGCCGCCCTCACGGACTTCCAATTGTCAGGGTGGGGCAGAGGTGTGCAAGCCACAAACACACACAGTCACACACACACACCTGCGGCGCACACACACACACACACAACGGCAAAACACTTCAACTTCCGTTGTAAATTTGTTGAAACAGCAATTTTTTCCCTAAACGTTTACGTCCTCGCCAAAGCATTTTGTAATATACTTGCCATTTATTGTTGTTGTTGTTTTTGTTGTTGCTGCTTGACGCTCACGTCCATTCATGCTAGCGGCGCGTCCTTGTCGTCCTTTCGAGTGACGTCCGCCTCAACCATATCCACGCTTCACAAAATGAAAATTGCGCACAAAATGAATGCGTAAGCTGGACCCACAACAGTTTGTCCGCCCCCCTCCGAACCCTGCCCCGCCCTCTCCACACCCCAGCTCCAAACTTCCTCCGCTGGCACGCCCCTCTGCGGTTTCACACAGTACGCAATACAATTCATTATTAATTGTTGTTCTGGTTTACTTCTATTTTTATTTTTTATTCTTTTGCTTTTTACACACACACACACACACATCCGCTCCTGTGACTCGTCTGCTCTTATTATTTTTTTTTTTTTTTTGGCAATGGGGACTTTGGTCAGCATAAGAGGTATTAACCTTTAACATGGTGGGCGCACAAATTGGAGATATTCTCTGACATTTTATAGCCTTACGTGTGGGTATATTGCATATGTGATGGGAGAGAACTGTATGGAGAAGAGTGCAGTGTAGAAGGGATCAGATTAAGGCATATAGGATCTGAGCATTGAAAGGCATATAGACATGTTGGGAAAAGCTGTCAGTTAAATATTCCAATGAATGAATGTAATATTTGAATATTAATATTTATATAAATATTAATAATTTAATATAAATTTATCAGATTATTCTCCATCAATTTCTGATAATTATTTTTATAATATTATTTATTTTCATGTTCCTTCTTTATCTCGGTATCTTACTTCCATGATACATCTCTCAGAGCTTCGCTCGCCACTTTTTCTCTGATCCCCATCGTCTATGCCTGCTGTTCTAATTCTCTCCCGTTCCATATCTCTACTATTCTATCTATAGATGCCTGTCACTTTATACGCACTGACCACCTCTCTCTCTGTCTCACGCTTTCTATCTGTCTCTCTTTCACTTCAGTCATAGATCATCTGCTGTTCCACTCCTCTCCCTCTCTCTCTGTATATCTGTCAGCCTCTCGCCCCTTCTCACTTTCCCTAATAAGATCTGTGATATATCATCCTTCATCATCATCCTTCGCTTTTTAAGCCACCTTCAAAGAGAATATTCTGCCCATTTCAATTTTCAGCGTATGCGCGACTCGTCTATGCCCAGATATTCAATTTCTTTTGTTGTGCCATTTCTTTTTTGTTGTTGTTGTTTTTTTTTTTGTAATGACGTGCAAATTAAAAATGTTTTTTTTTTTGTGTGTGTTTTTTGTTTCTTTTATTACTGTTGTTGTTGCTGCTGTTGCTGTTGCTCTCTGCTAAATGGCAATAGAATTTTAAGCTGCTGGACAAAAATTTAATTGCAATATTTTCTGGTTTGCTATGGGACGTACAACAAGTGCGCCTGCTGCGAATAGTTGGCAATTGCTAAACAGAGATGGCGGCGAGAGTGAGTGTGGGGGAAGGGGAGGGGGAGGGGGATAGGATGGCAGCTTTGGGGTTGCTGCAAATGGCAGCTATTGTGTGGGCTCATTCCGACAAAAAAAAAAAATAAATAAATAAAAGTTGCCGAGTTTCAAGTGTTTGCCGAATGCCAATTAAAATTTTCAAGTGAATATAGCCCAAAAGCAGGGGAGTGTGTGAGTGTGGGTGTTTGTACTTGTGTCTGAGTGTGCCTGTGTGTGTGTGTGTGTGTGTGTGTGCCTGCTGGCGAACATTGGCACTTAATTGCATTTTAAAAGAAAAGCGCGAACGGCTAATTTGGCTAGTGAAAGTGGAAGCCAGCGAAATGGCATGAATATTAAAATGAGAGAGCGTGCAGACAGGTAACAGCTGTGCCACACACACACACACACACACACACACCCACCAACACACACTGAGATTTGCTTGCAGCTGAATGTATGCGCTAATTGTTGCATAAAAATCCAAGCCTTTGGCTCATGCTCTTGCTTTCCCTCCTCTCCCCCCCCCTCTCTCCCTCGCACTGTGTTCTCTCTACCTGCAAATGCCATTTAAATGTGTGTTTCCAGTTGTTCTTGCTGTCGTTAAAAGCTTCAGCAAAAAAAGATTGCATAGGCCAAATACCTAATGAACTTTGCATGTTCACAATAAAAAACAATGGCTGCAGCTGCATTGAGTCTGAGTCTGAGTGGAGTTGAGTTGAGTCGAGTGCATAGCTAATTGCAAATTGCACGAGTCACGCGCAGGCAATTGGCTTCGCTTTGATAACAATTGTTTTTGCCTGCGATTGCAGTTATTTGATTATATTTTTATTAAGTTAACATTCTGTCAAATTACAACATTTTTACAATAATTTATTGTGCGAGGTATGAAAGGGGAATTATATTTTCTTGTTGCAAAGGGGTTATAAATATGAAACAGTATGTGTATTAGTATTGGAAGAAAATAATTTTATATTGTTCAAGAACTACTTAATTTTTCCTAAAACAGCTTTGTTTCCTTCCATATTTTCTATTTACTCCATTAATATTCCTTTACTCCTAGTGCCAGTCCTATATATAAGCTCTAGATCACTCTCTGTCTCTTTCACACAGTATCTCGCTCACAAAAATCCTCTCTCTCTCTCTCTCTTTCTGTCACATACACATACTCTTTCTAAATTTCCCTCTCATTCTTATATTCTATTGCGTCTCATGCGCTATGCCTCTCTTGCTCTCTCTGCTCTCTCTGCTCTCTCTTTCATAGATCATATGTGGCTCTTTCATTCATATTGCATATATCATATATAGTTGACCCGCTCTTTGACTCAATAAATATTGCAACTTATTTCCAATTAGTTTTGCTTGCGCTAGTCATAGATTTTAGTGCCAGTTGGAATTGTTTTTATTATGCTAGCCTAGTTTTAGTTTTAGTTTTAGCCGTTGTTGTTGTTGTTTTCTGCCACTATTCTAGCACGCCAGCAATATTTGCACACCATTTCTATACTTGCATATATATGTGGGTTAAGGCTCTCATATATTGTTGTGCATTAGATGCAGTCCGGCCGGGTCGTTCAATGAACCTGTGCTGCAATCTGTGCCATGTCAGCAGCAGTGTGTTTAGATTTTAAAGCCAATTAGTTGGTCAGCGCCGGCACAGAGCACACAGCACACAGCACACACAGGGCAACACGAGAGAGGCGAAAACAAATAGGCGAAATGGCACAGTTCATAGATATTTGTCATTGAACTCAGTCAGCTGGCCAAGGCTCGACAGCAATGCTCTCTATGTGGAATGCTCGCTCGCTTTTAACAAAAGCCAAAATAGCTAAACTATATTATCTTGCAAAAATATTTTCTTTTCCATTACAAAAACTGGGAAATTTGTTGGCCTTAGGGCAAGAGAATAACAACAACAAAAAATGGGAGGAAAAAAAAATAATTTAAACCTTGTTGCACAGTGTTGCGGCCAGCCAGAAACATTGGCTGGGAACGCGCCTAAAACGCTGCAGCATAAATGTTGTTCGAATCGGGTTTGTGGTTGCGTTTTTTAGCGAGAGGGAGAGAGAGAAAGAGAGAGCGGGCGAGCGAGAGCGCGAGGGAGAAACTGTGTAAAACTATTTTGCGGCTGTTTGCTTTGCGGGGCTCGAGCTGCAAACACAAAGGGCGAGCGAGCCAGCAGACAACATTTGTAGCATCGAGTTCATGGCTTTATTTATTTAGCGCATAAATTTTCAGCGCGCAAAAGATTTTTTTTTCCACTCTCTTGGCTTTTTTTC